CGGGAGCCCCGCGTGGCTGCCGTTGCCGCCGCGGCCGCCACCGCGTCAGGCTGCTCGCTGCGGAACTCGTTGAGGATGTCGAAGAAGCTCTGCTCGGGCACGGCCTGCACGTCGATGGAGGATGTGCTGCCGTACTCCCGGAAGAGGGGCAGCGCCCCCGCCAGCCGTGCACCCCGCGCCTCCGCCCCGGGGTCCTCAGCCGCCGCATCGCACTCGCTCAGGGTGATCTCGCTGCTGCTGCGGTGTCGCAGGGGCAGAAAGGCCCGGCCCGGGGACCTGGGCCACCCGTCCTGGAACTCCACGTCTTTGGACCTTCGCCGGGACAGTCGGTGGAAGGCTCTGGACCCTGAGGCCACTGGGGCGCTGGTGGTGCTGGCCGGTCCATTCTGCAGGCTCCTCAATGAATGGGTCACCTTGGTGGTAGCCTTGGCACCATCTGCGTCCTGCGAGGGGCTGGGATTGTTCAGCTCTCTCAAGGCCTCTCGCTTGGGTGGCCAGTCGGCCACTCGTGCTCGGACGCCCATCTTGGGCATGGCGGGAGTGGTGGGGCTGGGGCGAGTGGTGGCGGCTGAGCTCTCCCCGAGAGGCTGGGACATGCTGCCATTCTGTGCCCAGAAGCCCATGGGAGTGTAGTCTCCCGTGTGCGGCCCCGGGAGGACATCAGCGCCCCTGGCCCCACAGGTGGCTGCCAGGTCCACACCATCATTGGGAAGGGGCCGATAGGTGGTCATAGTCCAAGGGCACTAGAGTGCTGCTGGCCCCCTAGGAAGCTGTGGTGCAACTCTCTACGGGGTCCCCGGGCCCTCAGCCATTGTTCAGGGCCGCCAGTCCTAGGATGAAGGATGCTGGCCCCTGAAGCCCGATGTGAAGGTTGTGAGGCTGTGGAGTCCAGTTCTCCACCATCGCTGTGCACAGCAGAGCCAGGGCAATCTCAGCAGGCTGAGGGGCTGCAAGGGGGCTCCAGACAGAGAAGCTCAGGAGGGCAGAACAAGCAGCAGCGCTGAGCACAAACTGGCAGGCAGCAAGGATGTCTCCCCTGCCATGCTGCAGGGAAAGAGAAGGAAGATGTGAGATGCTTTGTACATCATGTATATGCTATATTGCTACCAGAGAATGGGAAATAATTGTTGTTGTTGCTGTTTTGGGATGGTTTTACTCCTTTTTAAAACCTTTCTTATTATGGAGATTTCCAATCACCCTCAAAAGCAGGGAGAATTATGATGAACTACACCACTAACAGTAACAACTGTTACAGATACTTGTCATTCTTGGTTCTGTTCACTCAGCCAATTTTTTTCCTTTTTTTTCTTTTAGTTTTTTTTTTTTTTTTTTTGGGTCAGTCGTGGGGCTTGAACTCTTGAGCCTGGGCACTGTCCCTCAGCTCTTCAGCTCAAGGCCAGCGCTCTACCACTTGAGCCACAGTGCCA